GCCCGCCATCTTCGGGACCGCACAGCAGCAGCAGCCGGCGGCGCCCGGAGCCCGGACTGAGACGGCGAAACCAGCCGGGGGCGGGGCCGGAGCCAGGGCCGGAGTCGGGGCCGCCATGTGGGCCTCCACGCGCGGCCCGGGCGACTGGCAACCCCCGAGAGTCCATCTTCGGGCCCCTCTAGCGGCGTCGGACACCGGAGCCGCGGCGGAAGCTCGAGGCTGCCCCGCCCAGGGCGTGCGCGAGATGCCACACGGTGGTCGCCAAAGCCCGGGACGGAGTCCGAGCTAGAGCTGGACCGGAGCGTGGCGCCTGCGCGTCAGCCCGCGGGGCGGGGCAGGCGAGACCTGCTGGGTCTGAGCTTCAATTTGCTTCCGGAGGCCCGACTGATTTATAATAATATTTTCTATCTGGGTAGTGCAGACAAAGAGATTAATAGTAACAGTCAACATGTCGTAAGCGTTTACTGATCTAATCTTTACACTCACATAAACGTTTTAGAGATGAGGAAACTGGCACAGAGAGCTTGAGTAACTGGCCCGAGGTCACACAGCCAGGAACTGATAGAGTTAGGATTAGAACACAGTTTAGCTGGTGACCACCAGCTGCAGCCATCTCCAAGGAGCCCACTAAATGGAAACCGACAGACCTCACCTCCTGGCACTTGGGACCTCCCTGATCTGACCCCTGCCAACATTTCCAACTAATTTCCCACTAAACTTCACACAACCTCACATTGCAATGAGCTGAATTACTCATAATTACCTGAACTCAGCCATTCCTCTGCCTCCGCCCACCCCCACTCCATACATCCAGATTGAAGCTGGAGCCCCTCCACTTCTCTTCATCATCACCACTGTGTTGATCCAACAAATATAATTCTGTAACTAGTCCTCAGCCTCCATCTCACCCCACTCCCTCCCACACGGAGTAGGCTTTTGTGATCGTCTAAATGCCCAGTGGTTAAGACCTCGACTGCTAACCAAAAGGTCGGCAGTTCCAATCCACCAGCCGCTTCTTGGAAACCCTATGGGGCAGTTCTGTGCTTTGCTATAGGGTCGCTATGAGTCAGAATCCATTCCATGGGTTTATTTTTTTATTTTTACTTGTTTAACAATGCAGATCTAATTACGCCCCACCCCCACTCCCTTAAGGGCAGCGCAAATGGTTAAGCACTCGCACTCCGCTATTAACCAAAAGGTAGGCAGTTCACTTGAGCATTATGCTCTTTTATATGGAATCAGACTGACCACAGCAATTTGAGAGATTAGGTAGGAACCATAGGGGGCAATGAATTTATGTCACTGAGGAAGGAGCAACTCCGAAAAGGAGGGTGAAAATGGGTGCACTATTCAAAGAATGTAATCAATGTCACTGAATTGCACATGTAGAAACTGTTGAATTAGTGTATATTTTGCTCTGTTCTCAACAACAACAAAAAAAAGAAAAAAAATTTTTAAATGAATAAAGATTAAAAGATTGGCACTTCAAGTCCACCCACAGATGCCTCAGAAGTAAGGCCTGGTGATCTGCTTCCGAAAGGTCACAGCCTTGAAAAAACTACGGCATGCAGAGCTACTCTGCGCACATTTGGTCGACATTGACTCCATGGCAACTAATAACATCAATCTCCCCTTAAAACCCTCTCCTTGCTCTGCATTGTTCTTTGGCCCTGCATGGTCTGGCCCTGCCACCTTTTTGCCCTCATCTTCTCCCTACTTGCCCCTCTCTCTGTAATCCCACTGCCCACCCCCCTCCAACAGACCAAGCTACTTCCAGCCTCAGAGACTTTGAATAGCTCGTCTCTGTCTCCTCTGGGAGGACTCCACTAACCTTCTGATTCAAAGTAGACCCTTACAGAGCTCCCTTATTCTCTACCTCCTCTCTTATACGTTTCCTTTTATAGCTATCATCATGCAATTGCTTTATTTGTCCCTTTCCCTGGTAATTCATTGTCTGTCTCTCCCGCTAGTGTGTAGGCTCCTCAGGGAGAAGAATTGTGTCTGTCTCATTCACCACTGTATCCCCAGAGCCTAGCAGGGAAGACTTTCAATAAATATTTATTGAATAGATGAATACTGTATTATTATTAAAAGTATTTTTAAAACAATAAGGTATATACTCGTGAAGAATGTGCCTCTTAGACAAGTAGATATAAGAGACCAAAGGGGCAGCTTCTGTCCAGAGGTTAGAGGGGAAGGCAGAGAGAGTTAGGAGCTGGTTGAATGTTCATGGGGAATCAGGGGCGGAGGGGAGGAGTGTGCTGTCGCGGAATGGGGTGAGCGGTTGGGGTCTCATAATAATGTTATGTTAAAAAAAAAAATTCTGTATGGGAGACTAACTTGAAATGTAAACTTCAATTAATTACATCAATTTAAAAAAAGAATAAGGTGTATCAATAACATTAAAAAGAATCAAGCACCAACCAACTAGTTGTGAGAAAGGGAAGGAAAAAAGGGACTGAGCCCCTAAGCAAAGGACCCTGAACTAAAAATCATGTGCTTAACTAACGGCACAAAACCCATTATCTTGGAAAATGCAATAATGAAAGAACAACCCGCCCAGCTCTCAATGTATTTTCTTGATGTTTTTCAGAAGAACCGGCCCGATCTGGCCCCTGGAGCATGCACAGACATCTGAAAGGTGACCAACAGACCCACAACAGGAACCCAGCCGGCACCACGGGGAGACTGCACAGGCGCGGCACCCCATAATAAGTCCTACCATCCAGTCCCAGGAGCCTTTGTTACAGTACAGGTTCCATCTTGGGCTGCCTCCTGTGTCCACGTAATCTTCATAACCCCGCTTCTTTCATGAATAAAGATAATGCCTTTCCCGCCTAAAAACCTTTAAAGCCTAGCCAAACATTTCTTAGGGGAGACAAAGGCTAGTGTTGTTTTGTCTCTGTCTCTGCTCACGAGCTACTTTTGCTCAATAAAGCTTTGTTCATGCAGAAAACTTGAGCCTCTCCTGGTCATTCTTGGTCAGCAGAAGGCAAGAACCTCATAGGGGCTGCCCAGGTTGGGCAGAAGTCCCCAGCAACGATTGAGTCAGTTCTGACTCATGGTGACCTCATGTGTGCCAGAGTAGAAATGTGCTCCATAGGGTTTTCAATGGCTGATTTTTCAGAAGTAGATCACCAAGAATAGGATACATCTACGACAGGTAGATAGATGGATGGGTGAATGGATAGATACATGAATTTATGCCAAAAATATGTTGTTGCAAGACCATTCAATGGGGAAAGAATAGTCTTTTCAACAAATGGTGCTGAGACAACTGGATATCGACACGCAAAAGAATGAAGTCGGATCCCTACCTCACACTCTGTCTAAAAATTAAGTCAAAATTGATCAAAGACCTAAATGTAAGGGTTGAAACTATTAGAAGAAACATAGGGACTATCTTAGTCATCTAGTGCTGCTCTAACAGAAATACCACAAGTGGATGGCTTTCACAAAGAGAAATTTATTTTCTCAGTCTGGCAGGCTAGAAGTCCAAATTCAGGGTGTCAGCTCCAGGGGAAGCCTTTCTCTCTCTGTCGGCTCTGAAGGAAGGTCCTTGTCATCATCAGTCTTCCCCCGGACTAGGAGCTTCTCTGCTCAGGAACCTCAAGTCCAAAGGACGCGCTCTTCTCCCGGTGCTCCTTTCTTGGTGGTATGAGGTCCCGAACTCTCTGCTTGCTTGCCTTTCCTTTTATCTCTTGAGAGATAAAAGGTGCTGCAGGCCACACCCCAGGGAAACTCCCTTTACATTGGATCAGGGATGTGACCTGGGTAAAGGTGGTGTTACAATCCACCCTAATCCTCTTTAACATAAAATTACAATCACAAAATGGAGGCCAACCACACAGTTCTGGGAATCGTGGCCCAGCCAAACTGATACACGCATTTTTGGGGGGACATAATTCAAACCATGACAGGGACGAACATTCATGACCTTGTATTTGGCAATGTTCCTTAGCTATGACACCAAAAACACAAGGAACAAAAGAAAAAAATTGATAACTTGGACTTCATCAAAATTAAAATTTCTGTGCGTCAAAGGGCACTATCAAGAATGTGAAACTCCACCTACAGAATGGGAGAAAAATTTACAAATTAAATGTCCAATAAGGGTCTAGT